AGAAATTCCACCATGATGCGTTGATGGTAGCCATAATATGCATAATGAAAAGTAAGCGCATTATAGTAAGTCCAAATATATGATGGAAAGATTAATACAGTGACGGTGGTTATTGAAAAGTGTTGGAAAACGTTTTTCTTCAGTAGTTGATTTGCGATGGCTACTGTGAATGATTGCTAAGTCGAATTCCAGAGGAATTAGCTAGTGGCCTCCTTTTATATAAGGTTTTAATGACACAGAAGATCATGGCTCTTCACAACTTTCTATCATTTGTAACTCCTAGAAATACTTCTCTTTTAACTCCCCTTTACTTTCGATTCTCGGGCATAGATTGGCTCAATGTCATTTGGTAAGTTATTATCGGTTCCCCACTTTGTGTTTTACTCGCGTTATACCAATGAATATCAAATTTACAACGCTGATTCTTCAGTAGATATCCCAGAAATTTCAACTTTTTAATTTTAAGTGTCTGTTTTGTTTCTATTTTCTCTAATTCTTCCTCGTTGCTTACATATTCTTTTCACGGAATTCTTAGTATCCTTCTGTAGAACCTCGTCTTTGATTATTAAAATCTACACTTCCGTTGTACGGAAATTTTGCATTATTATCTGACATATTGGAGGATAAGAGCTACTGCCCTCTTTCCTTTGTTTCCAATAAATCTTTCTATTTTTCTTAATGATTTCTTTAGCCTTCGGCCGCCATCTTTCGCTATTCGATGCATCTTACCATTCCAGTGTGCGCCGTCTGTTATTAGACGACCCAAATGTTAGACATTTTCATGACGGTCGTCTTCGAGTATAGAATCCAGAGGTTAGCAGTGAATATTTCGGAGACACTAGGAAAGAGTAGTGCAGGTTCGCAGTGGATATCGCAGCAAAGTAGCAGAGCGTAGTTCTTCCGTCTGTCATGTTCGCCGGACAAATTGCCTCTGGCCCTTCCGGTGGGAAAACAAAGATGGCCGCCTTTATACAGGACGGATACAGTGTTGTGCGGCTTCTGATTGGTCAACCTTCTATTGGTCGACTATAAAGGGAAATAAGTCATTTTGACTCGCTCACTAGTTATATATCTAGTATATACCCAAAAAACCGTAACACCTAATTGTTATACTTCCGAAGTTTCTCTGTTTTGATATTTCCAATTCCTAACTCGCATCTTCTCTCATTCCTCTGACCTTATTTTCTGTTTCCTTGCAATTGCTGGTTACTTCTTTCTGCTCTCTATCCTTGACTAATTTGTCTAGGAGAGACTCTACATTTACATCTCTGTTTCCATCAACACTGCCCTCTGTGTATATTATGCTGTTAAGACATGGCACACAGAACATTCTGATAGAGTAACCTAATACTTCACGGTCGCCTAACTGTAAATGTTGAATACATCCCTTGAGAAGAATCATTCTTGTCTTATGTCCCTTTCTGATTTTTTGTGTACTGACTCAGATTATTTTAATTATTCGTATGCGGTTAATTCTGAAATAACAGGGATACAATAAATATGGATATTGACAGTAGATACACAATGTATATCAGAATATCTGTAGAACTGTCTCATTGAATTATACTGACAACTGCTGTCTTATGTTTATCCAAACTAGATTGAAATATTAAAACAAAAGTAATTAAAGATCAGTACTTGATATTGTATTAAGCAAAGTAGATTGTTCACTAGTGTTCGCTTTGTCTTTCATTTTTGGAAGCAACATTATTCAATTTACTTAAATTCTTGCTAATTGTCTTCGTCTTGGTTCTGTTAACTAAAACATAAATCAATTACTATCTAACTATCATTACAGAGTTCTTAGAATCCACGTATATAGTATATTAGCATATAATGTAATTCTTTTTAGGTTATTTTCCATGCTTTCTTTGAGTTTCTTAAGCTACACTGACGTAAGTAAAAGATTCCTTTAGATTTGAGTATAAATGCTTATAAATTAACTGCTTTTAGAAAGAATCGTTTATTTTTTTCTTGAAATCACACGGTAGTATTTAACACATAATTCTTTACCAGTTGCGTGTGTGCTGTGATTTTTCTCTTTAAAATTCCAAATGAAGAGATTGCTTGATTCATGGATTTGCTTTCGACGGCTTATCAACCCTTTACAAGTTATTCTAAGCCACATCAAATTTTTAAATTGTAATAATTGTTTCTCATAATAATGGTATAGTGATACACGTCTTAGTAATTAACCTATAGTTGAGGGAAGAATGCTACATGCTTCCCAGCAAACTTTAATCCGTAAAAATTTAAATGCAATGTCAAACCCTATCTACCATCCTCCTGATTACTGTTTCTTCTTCTCGATCATTATTAATGATTATGTTCCTAATTGATCCACACCATATAACCCCTTCTATCTTAGTGGCTTTACTGCCTTGCATTTGGTGATAACGATTTAAAAAAAGATGTGGATTCATACATTTTCATACATTACATTAAGGGTATTTGTACATATAACAGGCTCAACTGGAATTAGAACACGCATCTCCGATTAACACTGCCATGCTATTATCCATTACACCATATGCGCATTCAAGCTTACAACGCCTAGTATTGCGAAGCGGTCAAGCATCTATGTATTGACCAGGTTTGATGTGGCTTAACTTCGATTGTCATATGCTGTCAAGTGCTTCAACTTGTTGCGGCCGTAAGTCCAAATAAGAGGGACAACATAAACTACATGATAACCTCTCAAGTAAATCTATTATATATTGATTGTAAACGTAATATATATTCGCGTTCATCATTGGCAGCTGAAGGGTTTAATACGAATTTTGAAGTTAGCATTTCGTACGATTTCTACTTCGAAATCCAAACGTATAAGATGTTCATGTTTAAACAAATTGTAATGTGGATTAGAGAAAAAATAAATTGATGATCGCACCTGAGTATATAAATTACGGCAGCTGCTAATGCTGCCCCAGAACTAATTATCAAGATTAAAGAAGGAAGCCATAGGAAGATTGTAAATAGCACAGGTGATGTTGTTTCGGTTTACAAAATGTGAAATTAAGTATAGTTCACTCCCAAATTAATTACTTTCTGTAATTTGATTCTATTTAATTATGTATTTAAAGTAATATATTTGTGGATATTCGAAATATAATACTTACATACTAACTTTCTTTTGTCTCTCTCTAGTTCTTTTTTAACTATTTACATTATCAATACAATCTATAAATATTATAAGGATATGAATATGTTGATATATTACATTTTTGTTCTTTCACACACATAGGCTTACGGTTAAATCAAATTTAAAAACCTTTTCTCATAAGACCATCGAAGTTAAGCAAAGTCGAGCATGGTCCTTACCTAGCTGGATGACGTCTTGGAAATACCCGGTTCTGGAAGTTTAGATGCGTGGGTGGTGTAAAAGATAACAGCTCGGAATTGGAGAGCATTGTTCCAATTCGAATCAGGTTCTTTATATTAACTTACGCGCAAATACAATTGTGGTATGCATGAATCCACCTCTAACTCCCCCAGATATGGGTTAATTAGCACGACCTCTGTCTGTAAATCATTATATAAAAATAGTTCTTACAATGCAAAAAAATATTGTCTGGGTTTAAATAACCTGCGAGTTCGATAAACCGTAAAAAATCAATCGCAAACACATTATACTCATGCATATATATTCATCAAACATATATGAAGATATTTATATAAATTGAAATGTTGAAAAATTACTGACAGCTGCTGTCTCCGATCCAAATAATAGGGTTAAGCAAGATGCAATGGAGGGTCCGAGATTCTGCTGGCATCGCATTTGTATATCTATCGGGTTTAGTCTATAATAGAGTTGTTTGCCTTTGTGTGTGTCATGGGTCCTTACCTATAACTACAGAATGAACTCTTCCTAACACTATGTATATTACGCGTCTCAAGAGAGAGGGACGAATCAAGCCGAGCTTCTCGACTTGACGGTCGAACTCTCTGCTTTTGAGCAGAAAGGAACCCGGACGAGATTCCGCCGAAGGGCAGAATCTCGTTCGGGGAGAATGACCAACCCGATCTCGTTTATACGGGTTATACGGGCATTTTTGGCCGAGCCTACGGCCTCGGGAAACCCACGTAAAAACGCGGCCTTCTGCCACATGCAACCCTCGTGGGGGGGGGTGGCTAGATACCGAATCAAGCCGAGCTTCTCGACTTGACGGTCGAACTTTCTTTCTCTGAGCAGAAAGGAACCCGGACGAGGCTCCGCCGAAGGGCAGAGTCTCGTTCGGGGAGAAATGACCAACCCGATCTCGTTTATACGGGTTATACGGGCATATTTTGGCCGAGCCTACGGGCTCGGGAAACCCACGTAAAAACTCGGCCTTGTGCCACATGCAACCCTCGTTGGGGGGGGGCTAGATACCGAATCAAGCCGAGTTTCTTGGCTTGACGGTCGAACTCTCTGCCGCTGAGCAGAGAGAAACCCGGACGAGGCTCCGCCGAAGGGCAGAGTCTCGTTCAGGGAGGTTGACCAACCCGATCCCGTTTATACGGGTTCTACGGGCATTTTTTGGCCGAGCCTACGGGCTCGGGAAACCCAAGTTAAACTCGGCCTTGTGCCACATGCAACCCACGTGGGGTGTGGCTAGATACCGAATCGAGTCTAGACGATAGTAGTTCATTCCAAACCAGACTGACAGTCATGCTAACACCATCCACACCTTGTATTATTATTTCGTTTAATATACCTTCGTTATTTCTACTCGTTCGTGTTTGTGTTGTTCTTCCTTGGTCCTAACCTGTGCCATAACAGTGTGGAGCTCAAGCGAATTTAGTTAGACCTCCAAGAATCTAAGTTAAGTCTAACGTACACTGACGTCATTGTACTACAGTTTCTTCCTTAAATCATGAGTACACGGAAAGTTGTGTTGTCTTGCTTTTGTACATATTAAGTATGGAGATATATAGCGGATATAACTGCAATGTAGTCGTCTGAAACATGGCACTCCAGTCAAAAGTAAATCTAACTTCGCACGTGAGGCTTGTGAAATCCTGGAAACACTGTTTCTCGTTCGATCACCGAAGTAAAGAAACATCGAGGTTAGTCAGTACTTAGATGGTGGACAACCTGGGAATACCAGATATTGTAAAACCCCTCCTAAAATAATCCACAACGTCACAAGACAAACCAATCAATCAATTAAAACCTTGCGAACTTGCCCAAGATCAGTGTAACAGACTGTCTTATCAATACACAAATTCTAACTCTCTGTCAAAAGAACTGGATACATAATTTGTCTCACCAGGCGACATGGATACCATCTTCCTCAATTCAATAGTTGCTGAAACAGAGTTATCGATGGTTGAGTGGCAACAAATCCATTGACAACTATGGAATACCAGATAATGCAGTCTACATTGAACAGTACGTTAATAGATAGAAATATGGCCATCAAGTTCGTTTGTTGGTTTCCATCCTCGTAAATCGCCTAGAGTTCTTTTTGCGCATCGTTTGTAGGCGCTTGACATTTTCACATGTCAATGATTTCTCTCTGGAATAAAACATTTCCGGAGTTGCCACCTCATAGAAAATTACTCATCTTTTTGGCCCCCAATTCTGCTGACAAATTATGTGACGTCCTATCGGCATCTCACAGCTCGCACGTCTACACTGGATACTTACATATCATCGTTAATCTTTGCTATACACATTCAGGGTGAAATTATTCAATGTGACGTCGTTTCGAATGTTGTGAAATGTCAGTTAATAGTTATTATTACTAAACCGAAATGCGTACAGGTGAATAAAGAGCGTGTTGCGCCATACCTTTTAGAAAGGTTGTACTGTCACTGATGGAGTTTGAAGATTCTCTATAGGAGCGGGTATCATATGCGGCAAATGATGCCTATGGGGTATCTCATCCAATTATTTATTGAATGATTCACACAATTACTTCATTATATATATATATATATATATATATATATATATATATATAGATAGATAGATAGATAGATAGATAACTAGACTCGTTTCGAACAACCCTCGAATTTTTGATTTGCTAATAATCAAATAAATCTCGAGGGAAAAAAAGGTTATAAAAAAAGAAAGAGCTACAAACATGAACTTCTGCCGACAAAAAATCGCACAGATGCAGGTCTGAAGCCCAAAGAAAAAAACCCTGATACGAGTAACAACTAACTAACAAAAGAGCTCAATACAACCGTAGAGCAGACCTAGATACACCTAGTGAGCCAGACAAACCTACCTAGGTTTCACCTAAACGGATCGTCAGGGAAAGTAAGGCTCTTACTTTCCCTGACGATCCGTTTAGTTGAAACGTAGGTAGGTTTGTCTGGCTCACTAAATATATATATATATATATATATATATATATATATATATATATATATATATAGTCTGTTTCGTGTTAGATGCAATCGTCAGGTGGCCTGACGATTGCATCTAGCATGAAACAGACTGTTGCCTCTAAGTGTTTACTTCTATGTTCACATTTATATTTACACACGCTCTATCTCTGATATTGAGCACTTTATCCCATAAATATAACACATCTTAAGACGATATTTCTTCATATATATATATATATATATATATATATATATATATATATATATATATATTGATAGATATAGATATAGATAACAACCTAACTTAGCTCGATAAATAGATGTAATGTAAGACATGTAATTATATAAAACACGTACAGTCATATGGATGCCATGAATGGCAGCAAACTCTCTCCGATAACTAAAGTGTCAGCGATTTATGACCCGCTTTCATTGATCACTGGTGAAAATGACTTTAAGTGAGTGAATCATGTGGGTCTTGGACGTTATGAACTGGCGCAGATGAATCACTAATATACAACTGTATCTAATAACAGAAACCATATCACATGAGGACTTTCAATAACATTAAAAACTAAAATGGATATTACATGCAACGCAAAGAGGAAATACTGACATAATCATGATTTTGGTATTCCACACTACTTCCAATTAAATGTGAAGAAGGGAACACCCATCGATACTTGAAATAGCAAAATCAGTTACTGGGCTTGATAAAACTATTTTCCTGAAAAATTGTTTTCAAAGACGAAATTTACTTATAAGGAAACGTTTAATGTTATACTATCGCCATTATATTAATATGTAGGTACAAACAATATAAATAAATGGAAAGAGAAGGGGAAAAGATTTATATGTCAATGCGTTTCGGCTTGATTTCCTCAATGATTGAAACGCGCTTTGGTATACAAGGTTTTAATTTTGTCTTTTCACACACACACACACATGCATATATATATATATATATATATATATATATATATATATATATATATATATATATATATATGATGTGGATAAACGCTATCATGCATTGCCGATAATTATTTTGGCATTTTTTATTTACATTTTCTTTCTGTTTTTCTTATTCCTAAGCCTTTTTTGTGTAAATCTACCCTCCTCATAAAAGCTTTTAAATCAATACAAATTATACAATTTGTTCTCCTTAACAACGATATATCTCGCAGAAAATAATTTTGAAAGGACATAAAAACTTAATCACTTAGAGGTTTCTATTAAATGATTTAGACATTCGGTTCACCTGATTTTTATTCCAATATCACATGCCAGAGACGGTATATCAATTCATTTTGGTTTAAATTTATTTGGGTAGTTATTGTAAGTTTTATATATTGGAGAAATGTGTAACCCATCAGCGTAAGCACTATATGAGATGTTTCGTAGTTGATATAGTTGATATGGGAAAAAAAAATCCATAGTTGTTACTGATCCGTGTTTGTGAACAACTGCCAAGCAAAATTTTGAGACGACAGATTTCAAGGCAAGAACGTAGATACGGATAAGCACGACAAATTCCCCCCCCCATATTTCTATATTCCGCCTATGTAAATAAGTCTAGATATGCAATCGTACAAAAGGTAATTATCAAGAGATATTTGTAAGAAAAATTGTCTTGTTCAATATCCATGGTAATTAAATTTAAATTTCCCGAAAAAATTATGTTTTAAAGGAAAGAGCTCGTATAAACTGAATGAGAAATAATTATTTTAATCTTTGAAGTTCGAGGAACTGCAGTAAAGATTTAATTTTTTTAAGAAAAATAAAATGCATTTACGCAGGTTTTGTGTCGTCTACAAATTTGACAATTATTGTAATGGTAATTCTTGTAATGGTAGAAGAATGTGCACCTGTGTTTTATAGACTACGAAAAGTCGTTCGACAAAAGTACGTCACAAAGTTACATTAAAGCTGCTCAGCAACCTTGACATATTCGATAAAGATATTACAATAATCTAAATCCTCTGTTGGCAGTAAACCACACACATAAAGATAAACAAATGAGTTCAGCAGATATACAAAAATAGAAAGGGACGTAAGGCAAAGATGCGTCGTCTCACCGGACGTATTCAACCTATACAGCGAGACAATTTTGAGAGAACTGGAAATCCTACCAGGATTCTTCATTGGCGACCACAATCTTAAGATACGAAGATAACACAGTGGTGACAGCAGACACCGAAATGAAACTACAAAATCTCCTGCAGACGATAGCGAAGGAGAACGAGTAGAAGGCACTATGCATGAACTACAAAAAACAGAATGCATGGTCATCAGCTAAAAGATGAGCCCGAAATGCAATTTACAGGTAGATGAAACTAAAATTAAGCAGATGCGGAAATTTAAATATTTGGTACGTATTCTGACAGAGGTTGAAATGTGCGAAGCTGAGATCCGAAGACGTATTGGCCAAAGACACATTCCAAAAGCTAGTATTACGAGACTGTAGGGTTTCGTTAGTAACAAAGAAAAGAGTACTGAACTACTATGTGATATCTTCCCTCCTTTACGGCAGCGAGTTTTGGACAATCATCTAACAGATGAAGAAGAGACTTTGTGCAACAGAGATGTGGCTCTACAGAAGAATGCTAAGGATATCATGGACAGAATATGTGAACAACGATGATATTTTGGAGAGGATGCAAACAAGGACGAAACTTATACTTAATATCAAAAAGAGGCAGCTGAAAATGTGATATTCACAAGGCGAACAGCGGGACAAGGGAAAGCAATACGTGACATACTTAAAGCGGTTAAGCAAGTATATGGGCGATCGGGTTCTGGAGGAAATAACAAAAAAGACAAGACTTATTGAGAGCTACAATCGCCTGGAGGGATACAACCCATAAAAAGAAAGAAGAAGAATCGTAATGGTAATGCTAATATTCGCCGGTTGCTCATGGGGAACCATTTTGCCTTTGTTGGCCTCGCAGCTTCTACTGTTGAAATTTATAAAATCTTAAACATAAAAACTTTCTGCTGGAAAATATGTTTATCAAGTCCAGTAGTTTTTATCATTCTTTCCAATACTGGTGATGCTTTCTTCCTAACATTTTCCTTAAGGTACTGTGGGACGTCAATATTTAATGTAATTGTTTTCTCTTTGGGTTACGGGTACTATCCATATTTAATTGTATTCTTATTGAAATTTCTTAAACGATGTTGTTTCTGTTATCGTATAAATTTCTTTGTTGGTAATTCTGTAGAAACCAAGAACCACAGCTTTATCTGTCCAAACATATTTTAATCATTAGTTTTAGAATGCTGTTGTATACAGTTGACAGTTTCTATATTTCTGATCGGATTCTCTGGCACACACCCTCAGCACAGGGTCGATTTAATTCCCTTTAATTTAATATACGCTCAGACAATATTGTTATACTTTTCTAAACGGCTAACTTCATTCATGGTAGCGTATTAAAAGGATTCATATTACTGAATAATACTTTTCTATGGTTTACAGATACTAGAGAAAAAAGTTATTTCTTTACAACTTAAAACCAGTGTGAACATTTACTACCCACATAATTTTACTTGAACTTATTTGCTTTTATTATTAGATTTGTTTATCTCATAAAAAGTTGTTGCAATTATAAAAAAATATATATATTTAAGATAATTTTAGATCTCATTTCATAAAAGTTATCTCATCTGCTTTCAATAAAGTCATTTTAGAAGAATTACATTACGAAATGTAAATATGTTTGGTAAATTATGTTGATAATACTGAAATGAAAAAAAAAACATATATTTAAATGT